GGCCTTAACTTTCTACCTGGATAGCAAGAAACAATTTAGGAGATCTCCTAGATCAGGGTTCTCAAACTCTGTCTGTGGGCCAGCTCTGGCCAAAGTGAATTGGTCCAGGACTCTCTCAATTACTGTCTCCCCCCCCCCCACCCCCGAAGCTCCACCTTTTTCCATCATCAGTGGCTTTAGGGATCACTGGGCGAGGGGTTGGCACCACACAGCAACAGTGGTTAGCCTCCTCTGCACTAGATGAATGCACACACTCCACTTTCCTGCGGCCTCTGCTGTTGTGGGACATGTGGGAAGGGTGTGACCACTGCTGCTGTGTGGCACCAGACTCCTCCCCCGGTGATCCCTGACTGAAGCAGGGTCCTCGGGGGAAGGGTGGGATTATGTTGGGAAGGGGAAGAGTTTGGAGGCTAGTAATGGACAGTCTCTCTCCCCACTCATCTGTCCCCATCCTTCCCAGCCCATATTGCACAACTGCTCCAGCTGGGGAGTTTGAGACCAGTGTCCTTTGTGGATAGATCTAACAGAGCTCCCATTTTTACTAATCCCTTTAGATTCTCTTTGTTGGGTTATTTTTGTGCTTGTTATGAGTCTGTAAGTTCCAAACTTCCCCTATCCCTAGGGGTGTGAGTGTATTTGCTAGGTCATGAGCCATATCAACTGCATTTTAAGAGTGTTTCAGGACCTGAGAGATGTTCTGGTGGAGTTGGGAGCATTCTGTTCAATAACTTATTCCTAGCTGGGGAAGTCATGGGAAAGAAATGGTCCAACTGCTGAATGTAGATCTGTTTGTGAACATTTTCCTAAGATGAGGTTAAATCATAGGAATAGTTATGTATTGAGTCTTCGTTGTGTCCCTCTAGATTGCAGTAATCTTATCAACAATATTTCTGTTCACCTATAACTTTTGTTTAAGCTAATTTCTGTGTAGATATACTCTAATACATAATAATAGGGAAGGAATAAATTACATGCTAATTAAGATGACGAATACAGATTACTATATTTCAGTATCAGAAGAAATGCATTATACAAATTAAAATTTGACTTTTTTTGTCTACTTCACACCCTAGTCCAATGGCTATTTCCTAATGTAATGCTTTTTTTTTATAGGTAATTTACTTAAAGAAAACACCAGAAGAAGCATACAGAGCACTTCTATCTGGATCTAATCCACCATATCTTCCATTTAGGTATGTCTGCAAATTCAATATTACTTTCTTGAAATTTTTACTTCAGAACTTGCCAACCATACATTCTTGAGGGCTTTTTCAAATTTGTGAATGTGTGATTATGTAAAAATCATATGATTACTTCCCAAGACGTTCTTCTTTATCTTTTAGAGAAAACAGTTTGCGCCCAGATAAAATAAGAAGTCTATTTGGATTGAGACATGTTTGACACATTTCCATGTGAGACAATCACTTCTGAACAGCCACTAAATAAGGCTAAAACACTGTAGTTTAAAATTATCTTATTAGAAAGATAACTTGCTAATACAATTTTCCATGTCTTACACTGAGTTTTACAAGTAGCAGAAACCATCTCAGTCCATTTCTTTCATTGGGGCATGTATAGCCCAAGACTTACAAATTAAATTAATGTTACAGAAGTGTATTTTGTATCCATTGTAAAGATCTCCTGCCCTAGGGAATAGCCCTGATGCAATGGGACCTCTCTGCCTATTCCATGGCAGTGTAGGAGGCATTTTCAGGGCAGGCATACGTGCCTGGGAAAGCAAACGGAGCATGTTGAGAGAGCTGAACATAGGGTATCCCAGAGGACTGCCTGTGGACTGTGCTAGCTCCTGCAACTGCTCAGTGAAGGAACAACAAACAGCCATCCTTCTGCTGGTGTCTGCCTGAATTAGGCTATTGGACAAACGGTTGGGAAAATGCTAAAACAGTTGGATTAAAAACAGGCTTTATGAAGTCCATTGTAGATAGAAAAACCTTTTGCTGATGACTTTGCTGTTAAAAGAACTTGGCATCAGTCCACTGGTAAAACTGATTGCTGGAGAGTTGTTTTGTTCACACCTTGTATTTAAACATCTGCTAAAAATTATACAAAGCTTGCCAAGCTGCTGGCATCAAAATCCTGCTGAGCGGCAACTATTTATAAAATAATAAAAAGGCACTCGATGGCTTGCATAAAGAAACGTACCATTTACATGCAAACACCAGTGCTTGTCCATAAAATCCAAAGGACTGAAAGTGCAAAAGGCAGCTGAACTAGTTTGTAGTTAGTCTAAGTAACTCTGTTCCAAACAGTGCATTTTTTCTGGTTCCTGGTTCCTTCTAGTCTGCAGGTTGGGTGGAGCCTCTTCTCTCGATGCAGATGCTGTTTCAGAGACTTTAATACAGGGGTGGGCAATAAGTTTTGCAGTGGGGCCACTCCTTGAATTTTGGTAAGTCATCTTTGGCTGGCTCCAGGCCCCTGGAAGGGGCAGGGCCTTGGACATAAGGAGCAGGAGGAGAGTGTGTGTTGGCTGCTGCTAGGTAAGCTTCTGAAATACCATGCACTCTGTACAACCGGGAAAGCCTTCCTGCTCTGTCTCCCCTCCCTTGCTCTGCAGAGATAAGATATATGGGTGGGAGAGACAGAGAGCGAACTAGCTTTATGGGCAGGAGAGACTGAGCGCACGAACTGGCTTCCAGGGAAATCTTTAAAAACAATGCACTGCCTCATTGAGGCACTTCTTTCAGTCACTCACCATACGTCATACTGGAGTAGCTCTTCTCTATGTCCCTTTCTCCAACCCCTCTTCTGCAGAGATGGGGTACAGGCACAGGGAACACCCTGACTTCAGCACTCTCCTCTCATTCCCCCCCCCCCACCCCCCCACCCTGGGAGCAGCTTGGCTACAGGATGGAACAAGGTTGGAGCAAGAGAGGAGATGCTAAATACACACTGCTGGCTCCAAGTATGCGCACACTGCTAATCAGTGGGGCGAACTGTATTTTGCCCACTGCTGTTTTAAGATTGGGGTGGGCAAGATAGGGTCTGTGGGCTGGATCTGGTCTGCATCCACCCTGCCATTCCCCCACCCCAAGGCCAATCAAGACCTGGGGGTGAGGGAGATACCAGAAGTCTGCTCCTGCTGCCAGGGCGGAATGGCACCTAGAGGGAACCTCCAGCTGTTCAGAATGGTTGCTGGTTCTCTCTAGGTGCTGTGTGCTCCTGGCAGGATGAGAGTGGGGGGTGGGGGAGATACTTCACATGCTTCCCCACCCCAGGCCAATTAGGGCCTGGGAGCTGGGGATCATGTGAAGTCTCCTCCCCTGCCAGGGGTGGGCCACATCTAGAGGGAACAGCTCCCTTTTGCCTGAAGCCCCGTAAAGATTACTGCCCACCCCTGGTATAGACCAAGCCTTAGAAACAACTGTGAGAGCAGTTCAGTCCTTTTCAGTTCTTAGGCAAAAAACATCAGATCTCCTTACCCTGTTGAGGACTTTGATGAGCAAGAAATATATATATTTTTTAAAATTCTCTGAATCCTCATTGCGTTCCACCTGGCAAAAAAAACCCTCCCATGATCTCTTAAGGGTATTTCCCTTCACTGCCTCTCTAACTACATACTGAATGATGAAGAGATGCTATCCAAAATAGAGCACCAGACAAAAGAAGGTGATCCTACAGAAATGATGACCTCTTCCACTCATCACAAGACAAAAATGTTAAGACCTTAAAAAGGAGGAAAGCCAATAATTGCCTCAGCTTGACCTCTTCTCATAAACTCTAATACCTCCATCAAAGGATTTGCTTCAGGATTTTGAAAACTCTGTAATGGAGAAACTGGAGCATTTCTTCCCCAGGCATGTTTGAATATGAGTGGATTGATTTTGCTTTTTAAAATAGTGACTTTAAGTGTCTGACTGTATTGTGATTTTTAAGTAAGCAAGAAGGACTTGAGTTACTTTCCTAAAGAGAGGATGATTTTCATCAGCTGGTATAACTGTTAAAATATCTTGACTTACAACCACTGAATATAACCTTTACACTAAACATGGGGTTAGATTTTGTTTTGCTTTTTTGGGGTGGGGGTTGTTTGCTAATCAAGATACACTATATATACACATCCCTTTATTTAAGCAATTACATACATTAACTTACATTCATTCAGAGTTTTAATTTTTACGTTTGTTTGAAAAGACATTTACATACAAAATTATAACGTGATTTGTTCTATCCGTATTTGTAATTTGGAATTCAGTTAAAATGCACAATTAAAACATTTTAGTTAAATAAAACTAAATATGCAACATACATGTTTTTTGCATTTAAAACTGGCTCATTGAACAAAGGAAGTATTTGTAATTAGTAACCAGAAACAATCAATTCAGTTTTTGTCCTTCCAGTTTTTTGAACTAGTAGACCATATCGTCTTATGTCTTGTTTTTATTTATGGTTTTGTACAAGAAAGCAAGCTCATCTGTTTTTGAATTCCCAGTTTGCTTCTCAGTTTTGAATGAACTATTTGAATAAACAAAAACAGAAAAAAACATTTTATTTTGAGAAGAGGCTGGTGCTGTCAAGAGATGATTTAACACTTTAGCAACATCTGATGCCAAGTCTTAGCCAGTGAGTTCCATCAATTCAATGGGTGAATTTTCTTTTCAACTTGAACAACAAATTTTAATAGTTTGCCTTAATATAAATGATTCTGATTTCAAATTTTGATTATACATTTATTTTTAAGACATTTTTAAGTCTGTTTGTTTAATGGATTTTTAAAATTGGCCTTAGTGGGAATCCATTTGGAGGAAGGTGGTGGGATATCCAACCTCAGAGGATGAGCAAGCTAAATCTAAGGATAACTATCTCCTTTGCAGCATTTTAAAATAAGTTGCAATCCCCTTGTATTCCTCTTTTTGACTAAGCCATTAGGAAATAGTGGGGAAACTCCTGACAAAGGAGGCTTGTCACATGCTCAAATTCTAAAGCATCTTAGAATGTAGCCTGTTGTCCGAGTTCCCAAGTTGATGCTGTAGAGGCAGAAATGGTAAGCTCTGCAAAAAAATAAACCCTTCTGAATAATCCAGTTGAATATAAAGCTCTCAATACAGAAACTTCCTGAAAACTGATGATCCTCAAGGCCCATGATGAATGTAACAGAAGCTTGAGATCTTGAGTAGTGTTCGGGATGGGTGGCTTCTGTGAAGTTGGCAATAAGAATCATGACAGCAATTCAGTGACCAGAAGCCAACTCTGTCTTATGCGCTGGATAGCAGATAATTATCCAGAGCAAATCGTATGTGAATTTAGATTCACAGAATTCTGCTCCAGGAGAAATTGGATGTTAGAAAATGAGACAAATTAAAGTGTTCACTTTTGGAAGTACAAGAAACTATAAGACTCTGCTGTAAAGATGAGAACAAAATTTACTTCTAACCTCTTCTTATTGAGAGGCAGCAGAGTGGAGAATGACAGGGGCAGGTGGAAGCAGATACACATGCTGAGCTTTCCCCTGCCCCTCCATGCTTTTGCCTTTATAAGAGGTAGCAGCGTTGGGGGCAGGAGAGGATGCCACTGAGCAGTCTCTGTCCATGGCAGCCCAGGCTCACCATGGACAGAAGCTGCTCCGTAGGATGCTGGAGCAGCCTCTGTCTGCGGGGAGAGACCAAAGCATGTGGCGGCAGCTGGGAGCAGGTCTGCGCAACCTCGCGGGGCCAGCTCTCACTTGCCACCCCACACTGCTGCTCTCATACAGAGACAGCAGTATGGGGTGTTGGGGCTCCCCAGGAGTGGGGCTGAGAGCGCACTAGCTGCTGGTCCCACCCCTGGAGATTGTCGAATAATGGTGTAACTGCTACATTTTGATGCGGTTACACAGTAATTCAATTACTTGATATCTAATGTCCCTAGCATGAAGTTTCTTCAAGCAATTACTTTTCATGTAGTATTAAATTAAGGCTGAAGAATCATTTTGGAATTATTTTTTTCTGCCTTACTACGCTTAGTAAATTTCATCTATCCAACCCAGAATGGAAAATATAGTAACCTCGTAGCTTCCCTTGGGAATAAAGAAGTCCATTAGTTCAGTCTATTCAAGATGTGTCTGCATATCTACATGATAGCTTCCTTAGTAGATCAGTTAGAATTGCTCTACACGTTATTTCTAGTGCGGGATGTCTAATGCATGTGTTAGGCAGGATTGGTAGCACTGCCTATTATAAAGTGTGAAGTGTCAGGT